CCTACGGCAGCCCTGTTCGTTACTGCCAGACCCAGGGAAACAACCAAACGCCCATCAGCAGGATGGGTGAACTGGGATAGATTCACACTGGGGACCACACTCAGCTGTGGAAGGGAACTGACTCCTGATGCAGCCGCATGGACGAACCCCAAAGCCTGCTGAGCACGACCAGCCCACACCCAGAGCCAGAGCACCTGGTGCCCAAGTCAGTCTGTGTGAGACCCCAGAGCAGGCAGAGCTGGACCTGGCCACATGACTTCCTGGCGAGAGGGGCATGGAATTGTTTGGAAAGGGGTCCCAGGATGAGAGGGTTCCATAGGATGAAAATCCGTATCCCATTTTAAGTGCTAGATACCTGATTGTATACAGTCGTCCGAATGCGTTGAACCGAACACTTGAGATGTGTATGTTTTGTTTTATGTAAACTGAAGCTCAGCCCTCAGACCTAAGAGACGATCATGAGTTTGCTTTTCACACACAGTGATCACTGTGAGGTGCAGCCCCATAGACTCCACACACCTTGGGGATAATGACAAAGTCGGTCATCACTGATGTTTGGAGAGCCTCGGGGTCACCCAGTCCTTGCGCACCCTTCACCCTCACCCCAGAGGGCGCAAGAGCAGCTCTGCAGACCGCTGACCTTCTCGACAGGAGCCATGTTGGGACACAGCCGGAAGCCAGCCCTGCGCACGTTTTTTTTGTTGGGACTCGGTGAGACTGTGACACCTGCTGGCAGAGTGGCAGTGAGCATATGCCCACCCGAGTGTGCCTGGGAGCACAGCTGCTAGCTGCTGCAGTGCCCAGGCCACACCTGGACCTCAGGCTGGCCATTGGCTCTGCGTCTCCCACTCTGAGGCTCAGGCATCTGTCTGATGCTTCCCATGAAGTTTCCCGGCCAAGATGAGGCTCTGGCCAGGGAGCTCAGCGAGTCTCAGCGAGTCGGATCTCTGCTCTTCCCCTGTGGAGGCCCAGGGACTACTTGGAGGGGGAGAAGGAGAGCAACTCTAAGAGCTGTTTCATTGTTAGCATGGCCCCACCCTCGCATGTCCCAGAGACACTCCGTTCCATAGAAGCACTGAAAAGTTAGCGAAGGAGAGCGAGGAACTCAGTCACCAAGGGAAAAATGACCCTATGAAGTCGGGGGCTCTTCCTTGGAGTCGGACTGCCTCCAGTAAAATTGTATTACATGGAATGAAATAAATGTCGGAATGCAGCGTGCCCCACGAAGACCCAAATCAAACGGATGTCACTGTCATTTCCTTGACGAGCCTGTCCCATCCTGGGATCCCCACTCTACAAGAAGAGCAATTATCCTAATTTGTTTTATTGCATTAGCGTGGGCAGCGCTGAAGAAAGGGGCTTTCTTCCTTCCTGCGGGAGCGCCCGGGCGGCCAAACCTCGAACTCCTGCCCGGGGGCGGCATGGGAATTTCTGGGAACGCATGTCTGCAGCGCTCTGACCTCTGGCCCTCAGCTGCAGCCCCCCGACTAGTGCAGGCTCCCAGGCTTGGCTGTTCAGCACCCTCTTTGTGCCTCTATCTCCAGCCGCTTGTCTCGGAACCACCCATGACGGAGACAGCTATTCCCCGTGGCCTAGCAAGGTTTCAAATCCTAAATACCTCCAAGGACCTGTGACAGTTCCTTCCACCCACCCTGGGCAGCCCTGCTTCAAAACCGGTCACAGGCAGGCATCGCCATAGCAATGTTCAAATCCAAGATTTAGGGTGAGGGCAAAATAAAACTCCACAGAAAAATGACGTTGGTGATCATTTTCAGCCCACATGATGTCCCGTAACTGACTGGGACTTAGTGTAGGCTCATATGCTAGCCGTTGGTGGATTCACACGGTACATTTCTATTGGGTTGTCGGAAAAGTCATGACGTATTTTTTCTATGTTTTTCGTTGCAAAAATGCGTCATGACTTTTCCGACAACCCAATATTGCATCACACCTTGGGGTCAAAAAGTGCTGACACCACCAAACTGATGCTGGAATGTAACAGGGCCAGGTGGCAACACTGGGTTGACTGGGGCCCTTCAGATGTGGAGACAGGTGGGTCATCGTGCTTGCTATCGTAACGTGGAATGCTAAACAGTGAACTACAAGTGCAGCGGTCACCACGTGCGCTGAGACATAGGTCCCCCGCTACCTGCTCAAGGAGCTCATGGGATCCCATGGCCCCAGCTCAGCTCCCAGAGGAAAAAAGTGGTGTATGTTCAAGATGAGGCACTGCAGACAGCTCTCCACGGTGTACAAGTGCCCCCGCTCCCATGGCGTTCATGGCCATCATATCTCGCCAGGCTGCAGGCCTCAGTTGCCCCAGAATGTTCCAGCACCCTGGCACTCACCCATTCCCAAGCAGAGAGCAGGCATTCTATGGACAGCTGTGGGTCACTCAGCTCTCTTTGGGTCTGGCCTGTTTCTGGCCTGTCTGTGCCATTTTTTCAGAATTAATTTTGGGCTGAAAAAGGCTCAAAGAAGGCTTTGTTCCTTTGACACTTACTCTGGAAGGAAAAAAAAAATCCGTGGAAAATCTGACATCTGCATTGTAGGGAGAAATCAGTAGATGGGAGGAATATAATTATCCTCTGCTCCCAAAAGAATGTCTCAGATTTTTAAGTGTCTCATATCAGCTTAGAATTTGAATGACATTTTAATTATTTTGTTTTTTACTTCTGCGCCTGGTTTGAATCTCCAAAGAGTACCGCTCTCGTAGTCTGAAGGGATGCAGGCAGTGGGGCCGCGCTCATGGGGGAGTCCCGCGTGGCTGTGTGGCTGAGGTTTTCTGCAGATGAACGAGGGGCACATTTTCATCAGAAACCAACGCATCTCCCATTGGCAGGATGAGCTCGCTCAGATCTGGGTCATCCTGTTTGGCTTTTCTGGAGCACTGTTTTTCACACAAATGTGAATGTGTGGACGGCCAAGTTTACGCTGGACGTTGTCTCTCTGGCACTTTGTGATCAAAGCAAACCCAGTTCCCAGAAAGACGTGACTTGACTTTTCCAAGTGATACCTTTAAGATTCTGTATGCTTGGAGCACAGCTCCACGTCGGTGCCACAGCTCCATGGTGTTGGGGGCAGCAGGTACGGCTGAGGGCCCAGTGGGTTTGGCCCTACCAGGGTGTGATAGGGCCAGAGGTGGCTGCTGAAGCAGGAAGTGGCTTCGTGGGTCTTCATGGTGCTCAGAAATTTGAGTACTGCGGTCCCTTTGGGGTGCATTTGTAAACCACTGTTTGGTGCGTGTTTAGCTCCATCCAGCCCGGGCTCACTGAGGAGCTCTGTCATTCGATGTTACTGTAGAAGCCATGTGGCCTCCACGTGTCACTCCACAGTTCTCCTCCCTGCTCCTCTGGGTATCACTGTGTCTGTGCCACCCACCAGGGGCACAGGTCTTGGCTGCTCCCCACCACACACCTGTTCCAATTCCTTGGCTCATCCTGTGGGCTGTATGTTCTGGATGTGTCTGGAACCAGACACATCCTCCATTCTGGACACATGGCCACGAGAGGACCCATCAGCTCACATTGTCCCATCTCTGGCTCAGAGCCCTCCGCTTCCCCAAAGTCTTTCCCATGCAGAAAGGTCAGTTTAATATGTCAACCTGGCTGGGCCACTGCCCCCACTTAGTCAACCAAACACTGATCCCAATGTGGCAGCAAGGCTGTTTCGCAGAGGTGGATGAAGTTCATGATCAGTTGACTTCAGTGAGGAAGACTACCCTGGACAGCCTGGGTGGGTGGGTGGATGGATGGATGGATGGATGGATGGATGGATGGGTGGATGGTGGGTGCACAGTGGGTGGATGGATGGATGGTGGGTGCATGGATGGGTGGGTGGGTACATAGATGGATGGAACTGACATAGCCGTAGCTACAGAAGAGAAAACTGAGCTGCGTTCCAGGGTTGTTTATCAATGCAGTTCCTTCTCACCCAGCTATTATGTAAGAGACAGATTGGAAGTGACTCACAAGCAATGTTTTTATTCCTGGTAGAACAGTTGGTTTAAAGGAATCGCGTGGAGAGAATGTGGACGGGGTTGGGGCGCATCTGACAGGCATGTTAGCGGACCGTCCTCCCTGTGACTGCAGACCAGCCATGCTGTGGACATTCCACTGCATCCTAGAAGCTGCGCAGGGTTTCGGGGAAGTCAACTGTGCCCGGGCAGCCGGCCTGCACCTAGAAGCTCACCCACAGGTTGTTAGGCAGAGCCCCTCTCTCTGCAGCCACTTTCCCAGTAGACCAGGCAGCTAAGCATCTATCTCTCTAGAGACACTCTCAGGCCTGAGCACCAGGGTTTTTCTGGGTGCTGTGAAATGGTAGCGACCATTGCAAGAAGTTTTTGTCCAGCCCCCATGAGTTGCTGAATGGTACATCATCGTAGCAATTTTGATGTCCCTTTCATGTATCCTCCTCTATATACATATAAGTAAGGTTGTACGCGTGTAGCTTTGCAAATTGGTCCATTTTTAAAGCCTCACAATTGCATTACTGTGTTGATGCTTACAGTCTAAAAACTGAGTTTTAAAGAAAGTGCAGAAGGAACTGACTTTATCACAAGGAAACCAGTGTTTCTTTTTACATGTTGCATTTGCTGACTTATCGTCATGAAAGCCCCGAACGTACCTTTGTGAAGCTTGGTTTAAATCTTTCCTTTTTTGTCACTTCAGGCCTAAGATAAAATCCGTCACTCCCAGGGTGGCCGGTTAGCTCAGTTGGTTAGAGCGCAGTGCTCATAACACCAAGGTTGCCGGTTCGATCCCCACATGGGCCACTGAGCTGTGCCCTCCACAACTAGATTGAAACAACTACTTGACTTGGAGCTGATGAGTCCTGGAAAAATACACCGTTCCCCAATAAAAGTTTTTTTTTTTTAATCCGTCGGTCCCTTCAAGTTCCCTTCAGTGCAGGTTCTGCCCCTGGCAACGGTTCTCCTGTCCCCAGGGATCCTTGTTTGGGGAAGTGGTTCATGTTGCCTCCTGTCTGTCTTGCCTTGGCAGGGCCTGATCAAGATCCGGGGGGACCAGTGCTGGCAGGACCTCACCTGCATGGACTTCCACTACGAGGTGAGCAGCTCGGTGATGTGGTAATTTTGTGATGCAGACGTCAGCGCTTTCGGACGCCCCCCCCCTGCTTCCCTTCCCTGGGAGGCAGAGTGTCCCTCGCCCTGGGGCTGGCAGAATAGGGCATCCGGCCAGTGTGGTTGTGGGTCCCGGGGTTCATTCTGGTTGTGGGCACTGGGTCCCTCTGCTGCTGGCCACCGTCCTGCCCAGGCCCTGGACATCAGGCCAGGTGCTCTCCCTGGAGTCTGACCTGACCCTTCCTACCCGCAGGGCGGGTACTGAGTGGGGGGCTGCTCTGCCCTGTACCCAGCCCCCAGCCACGGCAGACATGGGCGCAGGTGTGTCCCACCTCCCTGGGGGGCAGGCATGCCAGTCCTGTGTTGGGACCCCGAAGGCCGCCTCAGCCTGGGGCTTTGGGCACGTTCCCCCCAGGTGTGAGCTCCTCCAGACCTTCCTGACCCCCTGACTGCTGGTCCTGTTTGTGGGGGGACTGGGGTTGCATTTCCCTGTGAATTAATCTGAGGGCCTTTGGCATGGAAACATCATTCGTCTTCTCAGCAATGTCGGCTCCTCCCGCGTCCAGAGCATATGCCTGTCGGGTGTCCTTTCTCACGTTGGGCTCCTGTCGCTCCTATTGGCAGCGCAAACCTTGACACGCCTAGAGCGCCACCTGTCACACTGGGTGTTTTCTTCCGTGTTCCTTACAGCTCAAACCGAATATGGGGAAAGTGGTTTTTATCTTCTCGTCTTCTGAAAGGCGGCTACAGACAATCACACGCCCACTGTGACTTTTGGTCCTGAGTGTGTTTGCTGCTGGATGTCGCCTTAATCCTGGGCTAACACCCTCTCACTACTACTGTACCTGTGTGTGTTCCGGGCTGTGTCATCTGTTACGCAGCCCAGGGCCGGGGTGTTGCCTGTGTGCTGTGTTTATGGGAAGTCAGGCTTTATCTTTAGGGTCCCGAGATCACCCCACGTCCCACCTAACATGCCTGGGAGTGTCCTCCCCACCTTCCCAGGGTCCCACGAGGCCCTCCCTTGATCCTAGAGCCACCTCTCTGCAAAGCGCAAGAGAGGGTGTGTTTCCGGCTCTGCAGGAGGGGGTGTGCACCTCACCGGCTGCGCCAGGGTCCTCTGCTCCGTCCTGGGCCCTCCTGCGAGCCCCCTCGGCCACCCGGTCAACACTGCCCCGGTGTGTCTCCTGAAGGGCGTCAGAGCATGGTGAACAGGCAGCACCCATCAGTCCCTGTGGTGCGAATGCCCTGCTGTGCGTGCGGCTCTCGGGCCAGGATGGAGGCAGCCCCGGGCCTCCTGCGTTAGGACAACAGATGGATCCTTGGCAGGTGGAGGGCAGGGCTAGGTGAGTGTCCTCAGAAATTGGTGGAGTTGGCACACACCAGGGTGGGGCTCTGCGTCCCCACAGCCCTGCTCAGGACTCAGGCAGGCAGCGAGCATGTGGCCGCTTGTAAACCAAGTTCTAGGGACGGGCCAGCAGACTGTGACATCGATGTGTGTGAGGGCCACTTGGAATCGATGTTCTAGGTCAGGCCAAGTGGAGGCTCATTGAGAACCAGGACTGCGATGGCCAATGATCACATTGGACTCAGGGCTGAGCCAGGTGGTGCTGTGAGGCCCCGGTTGCCCAGTGCTGCTGTCACAGAGAGCTCAGGTCCTGGCACCCAGGTCAAAGGTCAGGACCTTTGGAGAGACAGAACCCCTAACTCTGTGGCCGCAGAAGCCTTTCCTCAGCGGAATCTTTTGTCAGCACCCATTTTGTAAGCGGGATTGAAGTGAGGGCACCGAATAATGTCACTTTAGGGTCTCAGACCTAACCCGCGCCCCCCCCCATTCCCGACCTTCATTGACTACAGACTATGTGACTCATCCCTTTGAGGCTATCTGTGCCCCTGGGGCAAAGGTGGGGGGGCCTCACCTGCAACGCAGCCTTGGTGTGAACGACCCGTGCGCCCACGCTGGCCCCTTGTGTTTCTACTTGTAACTGAGAGGTGGGGGTGTTGGTGAGTTCAGCCTGTCAAATCAGAAGAAACTCTGGGCAGATGCCTTCGAGTGCCAATTGTCAGTCATGGCGAGAGAAAAGGCAGGCAGCCTCCATGCCACGCGCCACCGCTGAGCGTGGTTCCTGCAGATCTGGTGATGGCCAGACTGTCAGCCACGCAAAGCCAGCATCACTGAGCACGTCTGGGGGGGATAAGGTTCTGCAGGCCTCTGCCCAAAGCTGCCGGGCCCTGCTCCAGCACTCAGCAAGACAGACCATCCTCAGGAAACACCCAGGGGCACGCCTCAGCTGTCAGACACTAAAGGGAAGGAAGGAAAATAAAACGCTTACCTGCTAGCAGTTTTACGTCTCATCCGGCTACCTTTAAAATATGCAACGCTCCACTGGGAGCAGCAAGAAAATGCCCTTCGCTGCAAACTGGCTCTTCTCTATTCAGATCAATCAAATTTCGACTTTTTAACTTGGGAATACTTTGATTAAACAAATGTATTTCTTAAATCCCCTTGTATTGGACCTCAAGCGCATAAAACAGCCTTCATTCAACCTGCAGCTCGGTGACTCACTGGTTTTGGTCTCTGAGCTGTCAGGGGTCCTCGCCTTGCTGGGTCCCACCACCCTCGGCAGGTCCCCCCTGCACCCCACCCTGGGGTCCCTCTGTGCCTCAACATGGTGCAGATCTTCTTCCTCTGTTTCGCCCCCTCCCCCCAGGGGTACGTGAATGAGTTCACATGAGTTTACATGGTTGTTTTGCTCCCAGAGTCCTGCACGCAGAACTGACCTTTAATCCAGGGATGTAAACCCCTTTCCACTCCTAGTATTTGTAAAGTCCCACAGCCTCACAGCACATAAAAGAGGCCTTTGTGTTGCGTCAGTTGGGTTTTTAAGCTACAAGCCCACAGGAGAAGCAGCTGACTCACAGGGCACCTCTGGAATCCGTCCCAGAGCCCTGATGCTGGAACCAAAGCTTCGAGCACGACCTGACAAGAGGGTTGTCACTAGGTGCGCTCCCTGCCCGACAGCCCTCCGGGTGCATGTGAGGTGGGCCACGCGAGGCAGGCCGCGCGAGGAGCTGCCACGTAGAGCTCACTTGCTGTGACTGCTCTCTCGCTGGGGACTGGTATGAGTATGAGGGCAGCTCCCACTGGCATTCCTAGGAGCAGCTTTTTTCTCTTTTCCTGGAATCAGGAAGGTCACTGCCTGCCTAGGATACGTCTTTACATATGTCAACGTAGAAAATGGTCCCTCATTCCAGCATCTCTCAACTCATGATGGGGTTGCTGTGGCAACCTGTCCCTGGATACCTTTCATCCCTCCAAATGCTGTGGTCATTCTAGGTCCACTGACACTGAGGCCCAGACCAGGCACTCCTTCCCAGGTTCCAGTGACCTCAGAAGCCATGCCAAGGTACTCATGGGGGCGACCAAGTAGGGCCGAGTCCCAGGGACAGGCCCAGCTGCCCAGGACTGCAGGGCCAATGGGAGGCTCCCAGGGCCCTCCCCGCCTCCCAGGCAGCCAGCTGCCCTCCCTGTACTGGGCATTGTCAAGGGGGGCTGTTCACTAAACACTGGCTGACCCTCTGGGTGAGCTGCAGTGATCCGCCTGCGAGTGCTGGCCCAGCCCAGCTGCCTGTCACCAGCATGCTTCACAGTCCCTGAGCCCCAGGTGCAGCCGTGCCTGGGCATAACCGGCTGCCCCACCAGCCCCACACACAAGCGCAGCGGAGCCTTCCTCCTGCATTCCAGACCTGCCCCCACATGGTGGCTTCTGTTTGTGTCCGGGGCCAGTGGGTCCTACTTTTAGTTGCAACCCTGGGACCCGGGTTACCTGCTCTTTTGTTCCGTAATTGGACGGGGCTCACCGAGCACCCTTAGATACAGGAGTCTACCAATCTGGAAATAATTTGAATCAAGGTTGACGTTACCGTGAAAGCTGTAAATAGCTCGATAGAAGTTGTGACTGAGTTCCCTCCAGGAGAGTGGGAGTTGTGGCTTATTTGCTTAGTCCACTGGCAGTTTTATTGATTTTGTAAGAAGAAGGTGTTTTATGTGTGTACTGGGGACTGGGTGGGGGAGGGGTGGTGCTGGGCCTGGGGAATGTGCCGGCCTGCAGGGGGACATGGCCTGGCTGGGTGACTGACCGCAGGGTGGTTTTGGTGGTGCCCACGCCCTGGGAACACCCCAAAAGGACCAGCCCCACCAGACCAAGGCCAAGACCATGAAAGGTGGGGTTGTAACCTCACAGTCAGCAGCGGCCATTGCTGTTACCTCCGAGCTCCAGAGTGGTAGCGCCCAAACTTGAATCCAGGTTCAAATCACTCCCTGCTTTTTATAGACCTCACTGTCCAAATTCTGTTTTCCCCGCTTTAAATTGATAAACCCAGGGGTGTGCCAATTAAGTGACATAATATACACTGGAATGTAAACCCCATGAAAGCCAGTTAGAATGTGCAGCTGAGTGAGATCGTTCCAGCCATCTTTCTGTTATTGATGTCTAATTTAATTCCTCTGTTGTCAGAGAGTATACAATATGTGACTTAAATCTTTTCAAATTTATTCAGACTGGTTTTGTGGCCCAGTATGTAGTCTATCTTAGTGAGTGTTCCATTTGAGCCTAAAAAGGAATGTCTGTTGTGTTCTATAAATGTTCATTAATTCAAGTTGGTTTATAGCGTTTTTCGAGTCTTCTGTATCCTTACTTATTTTTTTGTCTATTTGTCCCGTTAAGTATTGAGAGAGAGGGATTGAAATTTTGGACTAGAATTGTAGATTTGTCTCTATCTACTTGCAGTTCTGTCCATTTTTGCTTTGTGTATTTTGAAGCTCTGTTATTAGGTACATAAATGTTGGAGTGTTGTAACCTCCTGATGAACTAACCCCTTTAGCATAATGAAATTACCTTTTATTCCTGATGATATTATTTGCTCTGAAGTCTCTTTGTCTGATATTCATATAAGGACTCTAGCTTTCTTTTGACTAGTGTCTACATG